TTTCGAGTTCTAGAACTCACTTCCGGCCTCGTTTCTTTGATAACTGCAACCGTTTTTCCGGAATCGGCCGTTGAAATATCGAGATTTTTAGAAATTTTCAAAAATTTGTATTTCCTACCGATTTTTTCGAAAATATTTCTCCGTGACCAACAACACCCTACATTTTTGGAATCAGCTTGTCGAGATCTACGTCCCTGAATCTTTTCGCAATTTTTAGACAACTTTTTATTAAAGTGAAAATTTTCCAATGCTCCCCCCTTCTTCATTTTTCGGCCAAATTTTGACATTTTCAAAACTTAACTGAATACATTTTCTTGTAGATTTCGAGTTCTAGAACTCACTTCCGGCCTCGTTTCTTTGATAACTGCAACCGTTTTTCCGGAATCGGCCGTTGAAATATCGAGATTTTTAGAAATTTTCAAAAATTTGTATTTCCTACCGATTTTTTCGAAAATATTTCTCCGTGACCAACAACACCCTACATTTTTGGAATCAGCTTGTCGAAATCTACGTCCCTGAATCTTTTCGCAATTTTTAGACAACTTTTTATTAAAGTGAAAATTTTCCAATGCTCCCCCCTTCTTCATTTTTCGGCCAAATTTTGACATTTTCAAAACTTAACTGAATACATTTTCTTGTAGATTTCGAGTTCTAGAACTCACTTCCGGCCTCGTTTCTTTGAAAACTGCAACCGTTTTTCCGGAATCGGTCGTTGAAATATCGAGATTTTTAGAAATTTTCAAAAATTTGCATTTCCTACCAATTCTTTCGAAAATGTTTCTCCGTGACCATCAATACGCTATATTTTTGGAATCAGCTTATCGAGATCTACGTCCTTGAGTTTTTTCGCAATTTTTAGACAACTTTTTGTTTAAAGTGAAAATTTTCTAATGGTCCTCCCTTCTTCATTTTTCGGCTAAATTTTGACATTTTCGAAACTTAACTGTGAATACATTCTCTTGTAGATTTCGAGCTCAAGAACTCACTTCCGGCCTCGTTTCTTTGATAACTGCGAGTTTTTCGGGAATTGGCTGTTGAAATATCGAGATTTTTAAAAATTTACAAAAATTCGCATTTCCTACTGATTCTTTCGAAAATGTTGCACCGTGACCATCAACACGCTATATTTTTGAGATCAGCTTGTCGAGATCTACGTCCCTGAATTTTTTCCAAATTTTTAGACAACTTTTTTTTTAAGTGAGAATTTTCCAATTTTTCCATTCTTCATTTTTCGGCCAAATTTTGACATTTTCGAAACTTAACTGAATACATTTTCTTGTAGATTTCCAGCTCTAGCATTCGCTTCCCGTGTCGTTTCTTTGATAAGTGCAACCGTTTTTCCAGAGTCGACCGTGGAAATATCGAAATTTTTAGAAATCTTAAAAAATCCGCATTTCATACCGATTCTTTCGAAAATTATGCTCCGTGACTATCAATGCACTATATTTTTGGAAGCAGCATGTCGATCTCCTCGTCTCTGAATTTTTTCGCAATTTTTAGACATCTTTTTAAAAGTGAAAGTGTCTTCAAATTTAGGCCAATTTTTGACATTTTCGAAACTTGACTAAATACATTTTCTCGTAGATTTCCAGCTCTAGACCTCATTTCTGGCCTCGTTTCTTTGACAACTTAAAAAAGCGGGATTTATTGAGGACGGGGAAGTTCGATCGAAATAAGCATTAACCAATTTTTTATTTTACGACTTTTTGATCGCCAAGAAAACAGTAAATTAAACATTGGTCTAAGTGACGCTTTTCCTATATTTTCTTTAGCAATCGTTCGAGAGCAAAAAATGCATGTGCCTGAGTAATGAGTTTACTGGGAAATGAAAGTGTTCTTCTTGTAATCCTGGTTTTGCCGTTTTGTTTTATCTTTACACACAGAGTTTAGTTTACTTCCCTGTCTATAGAAGTAGGTATTTTAAGTTCCTAATGACCTCCATAAGTTAAATACGACACAGATTCTCTTTATCATGCCGTTTTTTGAATATGGAAGTAATAACCACTTCAGACAGAATTTTCTAAATGCTACAACAATATAATATATAATATAAAAATGTATATCGGGTAACTAATTAATCCGTTACTTCACCAACTTTTGTTTTATTTCCGTATGTCGTTTCAGAAATAAATTTGGAAATGAATTAAGTAGTAATAAATTATTACTAATAATCATCTTTAAACTGAGTTTGACATCCACGTGACAATTGTCTGCGACATACGGAAAAACAATAAAAATGGCCAGATTTTTAGTCACCTGTTAAAATTTATTTTTCCATTTACATAATATGCCACGTGACTAACAAATTTCGTACAAGTTGTAAAACATCGTGAAAAGGGAAGCATTTTTCAGGTCAGCATCATATCACTTTGAGATAAACGATGCCACGATACCACCTGTGGCATGTCAGAGCCGCCCATGAATTAGATCGGCATTTCCACCAACACAACTTTATTACTACTTAGTAAAATTGTAAAACTGATATCTAACACCTGTTCCTTCTGCACATATCAACATATCGAATCAGATCCACAAAGACAGTATTTAATTAATAACTAACACATTACACTACGAGTTCCTTTCGCCGAAAGAAAGTTACTACCACCGTACATACCGCTCTCAGCGCACATTAATCGTAATAACAAAAATGTTTACAATAAAATGACACAATAATAACAGGTTGTTTATTATTCATTGGAAAGTACTATCGGCTACACGCGAAAAAACCAAAGGTGACATTTTTATTCGTAAACGCAACTGCAACAAAAAACTCTCAAGACTAAGCTTTCCCAGAAAAAGTTTGATTTCATCTGCCCATATTGGATGGAAAAGCAATATTCTCACATTCAGTCGATGGTAATTGCTTGCGAGGCCCATTAAATAAGATTAAAGATGCTTCTTGCGATTTAGCATAATCATTATTAATTGTATAAATTATTTGTCGGTAAAAAATTAGAAAAAGTCACGAAACTTAAAAATTCGCAGAGTAAAAGTAGGAAATGTATTTTTAGCGAACATGAGGCAAAAAGTTCGAGTGCCGGCGATATGAGGAAGACAAGAGTCTGTCACACATTTCAGATTTTTAACGAAGGTAATAAATAATATTACCAGAAATGGACTGACTGTACAGTCTAATTTTTACAATAAAATAAAGATTATTTGTAATTACTTTCTTCTTTAATGACACGAGTACGAATCTACAAATTGATATAATTTTTCTTTTATTTGCACAAATTGATGGCAGAAACGAGTCTCTCATTTGTAATGGTTTATTTATGGTAAATTGTATTCAATATTTAAAATTATAAATATGTTAAGAAAAAAATTAAACGCTTCAGCTTATTTAGTTGTTGCAAAATTACATGTTAAGGAACTCAAGCTGCACGCGAAATAAGTTTAATCATATTCATGAATACGTACGGTCTAATTGTTTTATAAAATGTATGTAAACCACATACTTACGAAAATTACTCCGTTACAATATTTACTTAGCATTGGTTTGGAAAATAAAAATGCTTATTAAAAACTACATCCTTAATAATAATTATTCAATGTACACTCTATAATTTTAGTTTGGAATAATTGTTTCTTATTTCATAGACTACTTCACCAAGTTACGAATGTTTGGAAAAAATGTCCGAAAAGAATAAACATAATTCCTAAAAAAAATTTAACTTTATTGAGGCTCCATGACACCTGTTTAACAATAAAAAGCGACCAACTGGCATCTTACGAGGTATCAGTACACATTTCGTTACCTAATCCTTTTGCATAACCACTTTCTCCCTGATAAACAAAAATAATTTTACTTGAAAATTACAAAAAATCTAGATCAACCCTTTTTCAGACTTTTGCTAACATCGATGACTTCAAAACACCAAGATCTGCTAAAATTCCACATCTACAATTTTACCGTATAACAACAACCATAGCGGAAAATAATAATCACCATGTTCATGTTTTTTTAACTCATAATTGGTGTCAAAATTATTAAAAAACTATTTAAATCTTTAGCAAAGAGATAGTATAAATTTTATGAGCCGTTAAATATTCAGTCCTAATTGAAGTAACGCAATAATATGAAATTCAAATATATCCAAGCACCCACTCCTCACTCGCCCGTATTACCGAAATTTCTTTTAGAAATCCAAAATTTGAAATCATCGTTTCTGCACAGTTTCGGATTTCCTGAGAAATTAACCGGAATCAAGACATGCACCACCATTACCGATGTACTCTCAACTCTCGAGTTTTTTATCGCTTATACAACATCCATAACGGAAGAGTAATCTCTCTAGTGTTTTTCGTCTATTGTTCCATCATCATAGCGTGGCCCGACAAAACTTTTATTACGAGCTATTATCTCCATTCATACATGTAACATCACATGCTCTAATGCGCACGTTATAAAATTATTAGTGAGCACTTTCACCCACACCAAGCGATAGTTAAACGCGGATAATTAATAATTAGGTTTTCATGAGATTGATATTCGCGAGGATTTGCATCAAATGCGTTTTTCCGCGGTAGCCACTTTCGGATTTAATTTACACAGCAATAAGTGGAAATTTATTGTTTTTGGGTCTCGGTTTCACTTTCCGCGGCGGCTAGTTTAATTGTTACAAATTTTGTGTAATTAGCGATTAGGATCGGAAGTTGTGGAGCGCATCTCGGCTCTCACGATTTTTGTGGTGCTTTCTCGGCGATCAGCGATTAATTAACGACGAATTGATTAATCGGAAGCATCGAGGTTATTAGCGATGCAAAAGTGGTTCTTAAAAATTGCGGATGATTTAGATTAGTTTTTGCCATATGTTATCAAGTCTGTTTCTTATCAAGAATGTGGCCGGCACGACCTACTCTTCAGACGGAGAAACGCTTTTTCTTTGACAGGCATAACCACATGTGTTGTCCGCCCCTCTCGCTCCCACTCACAAAGCGGATCAAGCGGCGAGAGAAAGACTATCTCCAGACAGTCCATCCTCTATCGCACTACTCCGTATAGAAATGAAAGTGATCTCTGTATTTCTTTCAGTGCCAATGTTAAGCTCCTAAGACAAGGTCGATCCAGAAGTGCCGGCGTTGAATCACGAAAATGAAGACCCTGAGTGTAAACCCTCCGAAACCGCGTCAACTTCCCTCACAAATTTTTCTAAATTCTGTTCTAGATTTTCGCCATCTGTGTTTTGCTAAAAGTGTCGCAAGGGAAAGAGCCCCAGGTGTACGAACACGTCGACGACCAACTCCAGGTGGAATCTAACACCAGAGTAGTCCGCGAACCCGTCAACCAACAGCGACCGAAAGTGTACAAACCTCCCGTTTTCCGGTACCACGATACAGCCCAACAGGACCAACGGAGGTTCCGCTATGCCCAGCAGCAGCGCATCGACATGCAAAACATCCTAAGGAAAAGCAAAATGGTCCAACCGGAAGCCCCTCTGCGAGTGTCGTTAGTGCAAAATTGGAAAGCCATTGACCCCTCGGTTTCTTCGTCGACAGTCGAACAAAATTACCAACTTCCGGAAGAAGAAAAAGTTAACGCGACAGTTTTGAGCAGAGTAGCGCCTTCGTCGACGAAAAAACCCGTAACGAGCAGGAAATTGAAGCCCAGTAGCTACTACGAGGACTTCGGGGAGAAAATCAAACGCCAAGACAACAACCAGATCGTTTACGTCGATCCAGAGTTGGTCAAAAATCGCAGGTCGGAGTATGATTTGAACGCTCTTAATGCTTTAGTAGGGCAAAACCCTAGTAATCAGCTTGAGGGGCTAAAACGTCTGCTGCAATCACCCCAGTCCAATTTCATCCTTCCTCCAATCAAAGGGCCTTTAGCTCATCCAATCACCGAACAGAACCACGATATTCCCAACCCGAATACCCACCCCAACATTGATACTAGCGTTTCCATTGATTCGATTCAGTCTCAGTTGGACGAAGCCGCGAAGGCTCAACTCGCGAAAGCTTTGGCTGAAGCCCAACAACAAGCCCAGCAACAAGTGGAAGCCCAACATAGAGCCATTGCTAAGGCACAGGCCGAAGTCCAGAAGAAGGTTCTAGCTCAAATCGCTCTTCATAATCAAGGGCTCAAACCTATTCAGCCTGTGACGCAGCAGGTTACGCAGCCTCTGAAGCAGCCTGTGGCTCTACCGTTGAAGCAGCCTGTGGCTCTACCGCTAAAGCAGCCTGTGGCTTTACCGTTGAAGCAGGAAGTGGTACCTGTGAATCTGTACGCCCCGAATCACAGTCATCAACATCAGAAAATTCAAGAACCCAAGTTGAAGAAAATCAGTATTACGAAGACGCATCCGGTCACGCAGGGTCGTCAGAGTCCTAACACTTATCAAGAAGTGGTTTTAGAGACTCAGCACAACCAGAAGGTTCTTCCAGGTGTTAACCAGCTGAAGTTTGCAGACAATGTCGATGAAGTAAGTAGAACGAGTTGTTTTGATTTTTTTGGACTGCTATCGTGTAGATCTAGAAGAAGCGTGTTTGATAATAGTACTGATTCTGATTATCAAAATAATTACTCTGAGTCAAACAATATCACGTCGACTGACTATGACTATGATTATGACTATCAGTATGAAGTTTCTCAGAATGATACGAGTACTATTTCCGAAGGTACTACTATCATTCAACCGGAAGCTTTGCGCCGTTTCCGTAAACGCAAACGCAAGCCCTTCAGGCCCTTCAGCCACCATAATCATAGTCCTGTTCATCACCCCATACATCGTCCTGCTGAAATATCAAACCTTAATCCTTACTCGTCGTACCAAAAACCCAAGTCCGATTTTCTCGAAAGTGCAACTAAAGTTTTGTCTTTAAAAAAAGATCAAGATCCCTCCAATGTCATAATTATTAACAACTCCAACGATCACTATAACAGCGGAAGTAACGTCTATTCAGGACATACGTCGCCTGGGGTCTTTCATGGTCCTAAATTAAAACAACACAAGCATACTGTTCGCGTGCATCACAGGCCGAATATAAAAAAACTCCACCAGATAAGAATGAAGGTTGCGTTGGCGCTGAAGAAAGTAAATGATCGTGGGTAATAAAATTTTGTTCGATTATTGTTTTGTTGTAACGATTGTAGTTAATAGGTGAAAATATTAATTGAGAACGTAAAGTGGGTTTTGTTGCTTTTTTGTTGTTAATGACATACAGGCCAATTAGTTTATGTGGAATTAATTTTGCATAATTTACGATTATGGTCGGATAAACACAAGTTTCGAAATAATGAAACAAGTTGTTTGTTTGATTTGTTTTATGATGTTGGGATCGATTTTATTAATTGGGTGCGCTGTTAATAAATCATTGTGCGTAATGATTTTAATTATAGACGCTTTTTTATTGTATTGGTAGTTCGATTGAAGTCTAGGTCATTGAATCAGTTTCTAATTTTGGTTTGCGAAATTAAATGCTCATTTTTCTGTTTAAAGTAAGAATCTACAAAAAATTATTTACGAACATCAATTAATTGGCATTTCCGGTGCTCAGAAATGAAAACAGCTTTCGGTTTTCATTGCAACTGCATCTTTTTTACTATTTTTGGAACGGACTAGTAAATTTTAAAAAGGATAAAATAATCAGGTGACAACAAAATTTTCCAGTAGATGTTAGAGAGTTAAAAACCACTTTCAAGAGGGATGTATACCTTCACTTTGAAAAGGAGTGTATAAAAAGTTTGAAGAAATTACCATAAAAAATAGCGTTCTATATAATTCATAATTGCTTGTGCTTCATAACTCCAAAATTATTTTTTTTAATTAATGTACAGGTGTCTTAAAAACTGATTAACTGATTTCAAATTTTCAGTTTGTTAAGTTTTCCAAATTTCAATTTCTCAGTTTCTTAATGTCTCAGTTTTTCAATCAAAATTCCGAATATTTCGAAACCAGTCGTCATATGCACATCGGATTATTTTTCCTGATAGAGGTATACGAAAAATAGAAAAATAGAAAAATTGTAAAATCGAAAAAATAGAAAAGTGTAAAATTGATACATCAAAAAAATTGAAAAACTGAAAAATCCGAAAATCAGAAGTAGAAAAACCTAAAATTTGAAAAAAATTAGATTTTGACTTTTTCCTATTTTCAATAAATAATTACACCATTTTCAAGTTTTCAGTTCTTCGATTTTAGGATGTTTCAATTATGTATTCCACTTTTCAATTTTTAATTCTTCGAGTTTTCTATTTTCGATTTTTTAGTTGTCGATTTTTCGATTTCTAGATTTTTGGAATTTTTCTATTTTTCAGCTTTTGGACTTTTCAATTTTTAATTTTTTCATGATTCTTTTTTTTTCTCTGATTTTTGACATTTTCAGTTTCTAGTCTTTAAATTCTCGACTCGCAGTTCCTTAATTTCCTAATTTTACGATCAAAATTTCGAAAATTCGAAAACCAGTCATCCCAGTGTCTTCGGATTATTTTCACTGATGTACGTATACGAAAAAATGAAAATCAAAAATTTGTAAAATCGAAAAATTGAATGATCAAAAACTAAACAATTGAAAATCAAAGGCTGAAATATAGAAAGAAATTTAGGAACTGAACAGTTTGGGAAACAACAAATTGGAAAATTGAAGTGGAAAAATTTAAAAATTGAGAAAATTTGGCTTTGAAATTTTCGATTTTCAGTTTTTCGTTGTTTAATTTTTTTTGATTTTTCGATTATTCTATTTCCAAGTTTTTAATTATTCCACTTTTCAATTTTCAGTTCTTTGAGTTTTTTATTTTTGACTCCTTTCACTTGTCAGCCTATCAATTTTTGAGGTCCTATTGATTTAAATTTTTGGATTTTTTCATTTTTGAAATTTTCAAATTTCCGATTTTTCAGTTTTTGATTTTTCAATTTTTCGACTTTCTGATCTAAAATTTTTTAATTTTTGCTTTTTTTGTTTTTCGATTATCCGATTTTTCACATTTTCAGTTTCTTAAGTTTCTGATTATTTCGAAATCAGTCGTCCTATGCACATTATTTTTCCTGAGGTATACGAAAAATGGAAAATTTGTAAAATCGAAAAAAATGGAAAACTGTAAAATCGATGCATCAAAAAAAAATTGAAAACACTAAAAAATTCGGAAATTAGAAGTAGAAAAACCTAAAAACTAAAAAATTGAAAAAGTTTTGAATTTTTTGATTTTCAGTTTTTCCTACTTTAATTTTTTCGATTTTTCAATAATCATTCCATTTTCAAGTTTTCAGTTTTTCGATCTTAGGAGGTTTTTTAATTTTTAATTCCTCGAGTCTTCTATTTTTGAGTGCCTTCATTTGACAGTTTTTCAATTTTTGAGGTTCTATTGATTTCAATTTTTGGATTTTTTAATGTTTGAAATTTTCAACATTTCGAGTTCTTAAAACTGTCGATTTTTCGACTTTTTAATCTTTGGATATTTCAATTTTTCACTTTCAACTTTTCAGTTTTTGTAATTCAATTTTTAATTTTTCGATTATTGGATTTTTCGTCGGATTTTTCACATTTTCAGCTTCGTAAATCCTCAAATTTTCGACTTCTCAGTTTCTTAATTTCTCAATTTTACGATAAAGATTTCGAATATTTTGAAAACCAGTGGTCCTAGCGTCTTCGGATTATTTTCCCTGATAAACGTATACGAAAAATTGAAAAATCAAAAATTTATAAAAAATAGAAAAATCAGCAAACTGAATAACTAACAAAAAATCGAAAAATTGAATAATCAAAAACTGAACAATTGAAAACTGGAAAATCAAGTTATTCAAAAATTCCTGTAACAAGAAATTGAAAAATCCGAAAATCAAAAGTGGAAAAATCTAAAAATTGAAAAAGGTTCGAAATTTCCGATTTTCAGTTTTTCGTAGTTTAATTTTTTGGATTTTTCCATTATTCTATTTTCAAGTTTTCAGTTCTTCAATTTTAGGATGTTTTAATTATTCCATTTTTCAATTTTCAATTCTTCGAGTTTTCTTTGACTGTTTTCATTTGTCAGCTTTTCAATTTTTGACTTATTCATTTCAATTTTTGGATTTTTTAATTTTTGAAATTTTCAAGTTTTCGATTTTTTAGTTGTTGGACCTTTCTATATTTTTCGATTATCCGATATTTCACATTTTCAGTTCCTAAAGTTTTCAAATTCTTGATTTCGCAGTTCCTTGATTTCTCAATTTTTCTATCAAAATTTCTAATATTTAGAAAATCAATCGTCTTCGGATTATTTTCGCTGATAGATGTATATGTAAAATAGAAAAATCAGAAAATTATAAAATTACTACATCAAAATATTGAAAAATCCAAAAGTCAATAGCTGAAAAATTTAAAATAATAAAATTTAAAAAATGAGAAGAAACTAAGAAACTGAGGAAATCAGAAGTTGAGAAACTGAAAAATTTGGAAAACTAAAAATTGAAAAAATTAAAAATCCGAAAAACAAAGACGCAAAAGCTAAAAATTGAAAAATTAAAAGGTTCCAGATTTCAGATTTTCAATTTTTTCTATTTTTGTTTTTTCGATTTTTCAATTACTCAATTTTTCATGTCTTCAGTTTTACGAATTTTCTATTTCTATATTTGTCAATTTTTCATATTTTGAGATTTAATTTTTGGATTTTCTAATTTTTTTAAATTTCAGTTTGATATTTTAATTTTCGATTTATAAATTTTTGGAATTTTCAGTTTTTCAGTTTTAGGGCTTGGTTTTTCGATTACTCGATTTTTCAGATTTTCGGTTTCTTAAATCCTCAAATTCCCGACTTTTCAGTTCCTTAATTTATCAACTTTTCGATCAAAATTTCGAATATTAGAAAAGTAGTAGTCTTATTGTTTTTGGATCATTTTCCCTGACACACGTATACGAAAAATAAAAAAATGTAAAATCTAAATTGTAAATTGCAACGTCAAAAATTGAAAAATTGAAACACCAATAACTGAAAAATTTAAACGTACAACATTTAAAAAATGAAAAACTGAGGAAAGTGGGAAGTTGGGAAACTGAAAAATTCGACAAATTCAATATCGAAAAACTAAAAAATCCAAAAATCATTAGTCGAAAAACCTAAAAATTCAAAAATTGAAAATTTTCAGATTTTAGATTTTCAATTTTTCCTATTTTTGTTTTTTAGATTTTTCCATTACTCCATTTTTCGTGTTTTTAATGCTCCGATTTTTCAGTTGTCAATTTTTCAATTTTTGAGTTTCAATTTTTATATAATAAAACTTTTCGATTTCTAGGTTTTTGGAATTTTCAGTTAAAATTAATCGATTTTTCACATTTCCTCAATTTTTCTTAAAAATCGATTAACAATTAATATTAAGAATGTAACCAATTTTTTCACATCGAACGTTCGACCATTTTTTAAATCTAATTAGGTGACTCAATTATACAGAGTTTATTTTAACAGCAAATAAATCATCCATTAAAGACTCCAAGTGATTAAAAAAAAACAAAGAAACTAACGATTAAACAGTTAAATGTCAACAAACTGCACGGCGTAATTACCATTTGTTTGCATTTCCTTACATACCTACTTAAATTTATGACTCAGACTTTCTACAGCTCTTTCTATGTGATTTGTGTTCAATTCAGCTTTATAAACACATTTTATGCCACAATAAAAATATGTGTGAAGATTGACTATACCCTTAATTCATCTCAATCAATACAATTTTTTTCTAAAGTCGTTAACTAAAAAATATACAATAATTTCATACAATTTATTTAAATCATGATTAGTGTACACCCTATATCAAATTTTTCAGAACACACCTCACTTCCATAGGGTACTGTCCTCACCACACATCCTCCTTACTTATATATGCACACCACAAAGCCATCTTAAGTCGCGCATGTCATTAATCCCAATCATTGAATTTGCACACATATTCATCCAAACAATACTTACCCAGAACGAGGCATTTGTTTGCACTTTCTATCTGTAGCCAAACTAAAAATCCACGTTTTCTAGCACCAATACGCAGCTCGCTACGCTTTCGGCTACAAAATACGGGACGTGAAAATGGGCAACGAATTCGGACACGAAGAGAAACGCGACGGCGAAAACGCAAAAGGGCTGTACCATGTCCTTCTACCAGATGGGCGGATGCAGAAAGTGGAATATTACGCCGACCCCAGCGGCTACCACGCGAAAGTGACGTACGAAAACCTTGCACATTAGGAGTAATTGGTTACGAGTGACGAGTACTTAAGAGGATAAATGGGTTTTGCTGAAATCGGTGCTAACATGCTTGAAAAGCTCTTGTAGCGAGTGTTGTCAATATTTAGCACGGGATAATTTAGATTTAGTGTAGGTCGGTTACATCAAGTTTTTATTTTGTGGAGATAGGCAACCCATTATACACACGAAGATTAACTTTAGTCTTGTAATTTTTTTTCAGGTGAACGCATTCTCTACGGTTATTTATTATTTTATTAAACTCGTGTTTATCTGCATTTATTCGCTAAGCCAAATTTTAATTCGTTGACGGGAGACGTGCAATAATGTTTAGACTGACTCGAAAATATTTCTTTACCTAACCTTAGCTATAATATTTATATGTTCTAATTATAAGTGTTTTCTCAATAAATTTATTCCACTTACCTCGGTTCTTGAACCGTCCATATTTCAGCCGATATGGCTCTCATATGGCGCTGGATCCTCAAGTGGAACAGGGCAGGCTTCCAAGATTTTATTTCGGGCGCTTTGTAACAAATACGAGATTTATTTGAAAAATATTTATTTTTCAGACTAGCTTTTACAAAAAATAACAGAACGTGAAAAATAAATGTGGTTTTGTACAATTTTGCTTAAAATTAGTAACTTTGGTAATATACAATAATTAATAAATCAGTGAACAATATACAAGCTTCTTAAAAACGTGTAGATATTTACAATTAACAACATTATTTTACAATTCAATAGTTTGATTTTGGTTTGTTATCACAATTTATAAATAACTCTATTTTATAAATTCAGTGGAACTAGGAGTGCCAGCGGAAGAAGTGTCGAGAGCAGGCTTGGCAGCAGTCTGAAGGAGGCACTCTCTGTAAAAAACAAGCCGACGTAAATTGAATTGTTTAAAACGCGTTTTATCATTAATAACAAAATTAGAACTTAAAAATTGTAAAGCACACTTCAACCATTTCCGTTTAGTTAAGTAGGAGTAGAAAAATTTACGTCCGACAAAAATTTGTGCAACAAAAATAACAACATACCGAAAAATAATTAACAAATCTGTAGAAATACCTCGAAATTCTTGTTTCTAAATATAATTCTTGCAGCATTGTTAATAGTTATTGTTAGAACGGGATTCCAAACTGACAAGCATAAATTCGACAAACACAAATTAGGAAACCCAAGCACAATCAATTCACACGTCACCCTCTGATTCATTTGTCTCTTCTTTAGTGACGTCATCAGAATTAGTTGCGGTTTCAGCTGTAGTTGCGACAAAATCAGATTCTTCTTCAATTTGAGTTTCAGTTTCTGTGTACGAAACTAGTCATTACGCTTTGGCTAGGTTGCTTGTTTGAATAAAAGATATTTAAACTACTCAAAACTGAACGAAAGTGGAAAGTGTTTTTTGAATGTTTTAAGCGATAAGTGCTAAAATATTATTGGAAGCGGAATTACAATTAAGTCGTCAGAGTGTAACAATCACACAATCAAAAAATTGTGTTGTGGCTTACCTTCGCAACAAAGGTGAACTATGATGATAAATTTTCGTAATTTGGATGACGCTATGTATAAAATAATAATTTTACTATTTTTGGAATGAAAGGGGGGAAACGTTTAAAGCAAGGTCTACACACTACTGGAATTTATTTTTGCCAACTATTCGATACATTAATTCTAAATGCGTTCTTTAGTATAGCTGGCAACAGTTTCAAAGTAACTTCACTAAAGGTTCAAATTTCAACTAGAAATAGATTTTCAGATTATTAGATTAATTTAAAAAAAACATGTAGTTACTTTACATTAATTTTAAACGGTTTTGACTTTGAATTTAAACGGAAGTAAATCTCCCGGTATATCTGATTTTATAGAGAAATCAGTGTGAAATTGACATGGAATAGCAAAAGGACTCAGGAAACATACTTTAATCCTTTAATGTAAAATAAATCAATTTAACGATATTGAATTTCAATTGATTCGGACCACGAAGGATAGTAAAAGGAAGTAACTACAGAAAATCCGTGTACAAAGGTTTCTTTGATTTTTCCAAAAGCTCCAGCGCCTAAATTTAAATAGCTGCCCCAAAGCTTGCGCATTCACACAAAAGCCCGCGCTGTTTGAATATCAGAAGAATTCATTTTTGAGTAGTTTAACAAGTCACTCTCTAGCATCATCAAATCATCGTCTCTACCGACAAGCGTCGTCTACAAAACGGTACAAAACAAGCAAAGCACTTTTATACTATCCACCGACCTGTCGTTCCCTCAAACGAACTCTCCGTCGAGTTGGTCGTGTTAAAAGCGTACAATTCTTCTTGAACTTGCGCTTCACCGTCTATATACAAAAATTAGTAGCTTTAGTGTTAAATCGATTAATATAAACCAGAGCTCCAAAACCGCGTTACTCAATTAACGCACTTTTGAATCCTCCTCTACCCTTAAACACTTTTAAACACACAGGTCAAAATAGAAGCTTGGTGGTTTAAAGTGTTGCCTAACCAATACACAGCAACAACACACAATAATTACCCTCAGTGTGCATCAATTTTTGCGTGACATTGAAGGGGGTTCCCGGGATAACGAGTTCGCAGATATAAACGAAATCTTGAGTCAGATTAGAGTATTTGAGGGTGGAAGTGACGTTATAGTAGCCCTCTTCAGTGAGAGTGTGGTTCTCGTTATCCTGTCGGAAAATTATGTCTGTTTCGTTTCTGCAAAGAGTAGCTTTTGGTTTATTTAGACTTGGTGTGTGTGGAAGGGGGGCGGACTCACTCATTGAGGATATAAATTGTCATGTTTGGTTTAGGATAGAAACCTCCGGCTGTGCATGTTATTTCTGAAGCGTCTTCGTTGTCATTGAGGTCGAGGATTTCGTCAAAACCGTCTTCGGGGGTTTCGTCTTCGGGGGCCACTATAAATGATGCGAGATTCAAGACGTGCCCAAAGAAATTAAATTCAGACCTTTTTATTGATACTAAAGTACTCGAAATGTTATGTAGTAAATATTATGTATTTCCAAATTTTTGAAAAAAAAAACAATATTATATATGAAATTGCAAAACCGAATGATCTTGCAAACGTTTTAAGCTTATCGTAACCATGACAAATCGTTAATCAAAATTTATTAGTTTATCCACTTACAAAAACAAACTGATGATGTCATCTCAAAATTTTGCCGAATAATATCCTCACTAAAATATGCAATATAATATACTTTATGCTTATCAATGCACTCATAGTTTTTAAACTACTTATACAGGGTGTTTAAAAAATTCATGTATGAGGTAATTTACTGTATTGACTTTTTCCATTTTTCCGAAAATTTGGGAATACAGTACTGTTATTATTAGTAGCACGCTTCTTTGCATCGACTTTAACATTAGATACATATATTTATTTTAACTTATAAGGATTACCTATCATAAAAAATAAAATTCGAAAATCAAATGTATAATATTTCGAAAAATTTAGGTATTCAATTTTTCGTTGTCACAATTTTTGAAGTTCATGATTTTTATGTTTGATTTTCTCAATTTTTTGGTTTTTGTTTTCTCAATTTTACGTCACAATTTTTTGTTTTTTCGTCTTCTTTATTTTTTCCATATTTCTTTCGATTTTGTAATTATCCGTTTATTCAGTTTTTTCAATTTTTGACTTTTCAATTCCTCGGTTGTCCAATTTTAAAATTTTTCAATTTTGCAATTTTTGTATTTCGCAATTATCTGATTTTCCGATTTTTTTCATTTTCAATATTCCGATTTTACAAAATTTAGTTTTTTCGATTTTGCACTTCTTTGATTTTCAACGTTTTTACTTTCTAATTTTTAGATAGATAGTTCAAAGTTTTCGTTTTATACTTTTCCGTTTTTTCATTTCTTATTTTTGATTTTTACAGTTTTACAATTTTTCTATTGTTTGTTATTCGAAAAGGTGGAAAATGGAAAAACTGACAAATTGGAAAATTAAAAATCGAAAATGTGAAAAATCGAAAAATAAAATTGCAAAGCGAAGCACTGAAGAAACGAAAAATTGAAACATTGAAAAACTAAAAATCGAGAAACTTAAAAATTAAAAAAAATAGTGAATCGAAAAATTGGAAAGAAGAAAAAACTAACCGAATCGAAAAATTATGGAATCGTGAAAATTGTAAAGTTGAAAAATTATAACATTGAAACATTGAAAAACTAAAAATCGAAAAAATGAAAAATCGAATTAATGAAAATTTTTAAAATCCTGTAATTGAAAAAGTGAAATAGTTTAAAAATTATAATTATTATTACTTTTATATTTAAAATGAAAACTAGAAAAATTGCAAATCAAAAACTGAAGAAACGAAAAATTGACAATTCGAGAAACTGTAAGCTCCTATAATTGAAAAAACGAAATAATTAAAAAATCAAAAAATTGAAAAATCGAAAAATTGAAAACCGAAAAATTGTTAATCGAAAATTTTCTAAATCCGAAAACTGAAAAAATTCACACTGAAAAAAAAAGGAAAACAGTAAAATCAGAACACTGGAAAACCTATAAATTGAAAAAATAAATAAATAAAATACCGCAACGGAAAATAGAAGAAATGAAAAACTAAAAAATCGAAAAATTACTAATCGAAAAAATTAAAAATTGGGAAACAGAAAAATTTCACACTGACAAAAAGAAAAGTTGTAAAATTAGAGCATTGGAAAACTGAAAAATTTCACACTGACAAAAACAAAAGTTGTAAAATTAGAGCATTGGAAAACCTAAAATTTGAAAAATTGAATAAAATAAAACACCGCAACGAAAAGCAGCAAATGGAAAAGTTGAAGAAATGAAAAATTGACAAAGTTAAAAATCGAAAAATTAAAAATTAAAAACTCGTGACATTGCAAATCGAAAAATTATAAAAACTAAGAAGTGATACAGCCAAAAGTTGGAAAATCGAAAAACTGGAAAATTTTAAAATGAAACTCGAATAGTTGGAGACTCGAAGAGCCAAAAAAAATAAATTGAAAAATTTCAGAAATGAAAAATTTTAAATACCCAAAAATTGAAAAATTTCACATTGAAAGAGGGAAAAATTATAAAATCAGAACATTGAAAAATTGAAAAATTTAAAAATTTAAAAATTGAAAAAATTGAAAACGAAAAATTGAAAAATTCAAAAACTGAAGATATATATATATCACTGAAAAAAAGAAAAAAGTAAAATCAGAACATTGGAAAACCGATAAATTGAAAACACAAAAAAACACCGAGAAACTTAAAAATAAAAAAAAAAAATGAATCTAAAAATTGGAAAGAAGAAAATCTAACCCGATCGAAAAACTGGAAAATTGAAAAATTATGAAATCATCAATATTGTAACATCCAAAAACTATAACGTTGGAAGATTAAAAATTGAATAACTAACAATAGAAAAAGTGGAAAATCGAATAAATGAAAAAAATTTAAAATCCTCTATTTGAAAAATGGAAAAATTGTAAAACCGTGAAATTGAAAAAGTGAAATAGGTTAATAATTAAAATTATTATTACCTATGTATTAAAAGTGAAAACCAGAAAAATTTGGAACTCAAAAAATGAAGAAACGAAAAATTGAAAATTCGAGAAACTGAAAACCCTAAATTTAAAAAAAAAAAGAAAATTAAAGAATCAAAAAATTGAAAAATCGAAAAATTGAAAACTGAAAAATTGTTAATTGAAAATTTTCAAAATCCGAAAACTGAAAAATTTCACACTGAAAAAAGAAAAATTGTAAAATCAGATCATTGGGAAACCTATAAATTGAAAAAAAAATAAAACACCGGAACGGAAAATAGAAGAAATGAAAAACTGGAAATAGACAAATTGTAAAAACGAAAAATTAAAAACTCGTGACATTGTAAATCGAAAAATTGTAAAAACTAAGAAGTGATACAGCCAAAAGTTTGAAAATCGAAAAACTGGAAAATTTTAAAATGAAACTCGAAGAGTTGGATGTCATAAAATTGAAGAGACAAAAAAAATAAATAAAAAAATTTCAAAAATGACAAATTTTTTAATACTCAAAAATTGAAAAATTTCACATTGAAAAAGGGAAAAATTATAAAATCAGAGCATTGGAAAACCGATAAATTGAAAAAACAAAAAAAAAAACACGGAGAAACTTAAAATTAAAAAAAAATAATGAATCCAAAAATTGGAAAGAAGAAAATCTAACCCAATCGAAAAACTGGAAAAACGAAAAATTATGGAATCATCAATATTGTAAAGTCCAAAAACTACTTATAACGTTGGAAGATTGAAAAATTGAATAACTAACAATAGAAAAAATGAAAAATCGAATAAATGAAAAAATTTTAAAAGCCTGTAATTAAAAAATGGAAAAATTGTAAAACCATATAATTGAAAAAGTGAAAAAAAAAATTCAACACCGCAACGGAAAATAGAAGAAGTGAAAAACTGAAAAAACGAAACGAAAAATTTAAAAATCGGGAAACTGAAAAATTTCACACTGACAAAAAGAAAAATAGTAAAATTAGAGCGTTGGAAAACCCAAAAATTGAAAAACTGAATAAAAGAAAACACCGCAACGAAAAATAGCCAATCGAAAAGTTGAAGAAATGAAAAATTGACAAATCGAAAAATTGAAAATTATAAATTAAAAACGCGTGACTTTGCAAATCGAAAAACTGGAAAATTTTAAAATGAAACTCGAAGAGTTAGATGTCATAAAATTGAGGAGACAAAAAAAAAATAAATTGAAAAATTTCAGAAATGAAAACTTTTAAATACCCAAAAATTGAAAAACTGAAAAACTCAAAAATCGAAAAATTGAAAATGAAAAATTGAAAAATTCAAAAACTGAAGATATACCTATCACTGAAAAAAAGAAAAATGTAAAATCAGAACATTGGAAAACCGATAAACTGAGAAACCAAAAAAAAATAAAAAAAAATGAAGAAATGAAAAACTGAAAAATCGAAAAATTGAAAACCGAAAAATTACTAATCGAAACATTTCGCACTGACAAAAAGAAAAATTGTAAAATTAGAACACTGCTTGGCGGAAAAAACTACTGTTACAATGTAATCGCCAAGTGGCGTAAATAAACTGTGTCAATGTGCGAATTCAAGCACACGTTATTTTTGTCCGTTACAGTACATTTCTATCAAGTATTGATATAACAAACAATACAAGTAAAAGGCAGGAACGACTTCTTTGTAAGGAACCAACGATGGGTAACGAAGTGGCACGTGCCAAGAGATAAGCGAAACGAGGAACTCGTTTTGATACGTGAGTATTCAACAAGAAAAGAAAATATTCCTCTGGAAACAAATGAGCCTATATTTTCGTGTTAATTAATGCGCTATAATCAAGTCAGAAATGTGAATTTGTTCGTCTGATAAATTAATCAGATAACCGACTCTAGACCGGTGTTTTAATTATTGCACCTATGCTGACAGACTTTAAAATTGTATGCGTCATTATGATAATATTATTAATAGGGGGTATAGGTTGTCCGGAAGTGACACACTATATGGTATTAGTTCCCACGATGGGTATTAATACAACCCTCCCCTTTTTGGGGAATTTATCCGACTTTATTAACTGTCGTTTTTAATACTAAGTCTACATTTCCCTCTACTAATGAACTATTATTTTTTTTGTCTAACAAATTTTTTAAATTTTTTATTATACTTTTATTACATACTTCTTAAACAGAAATTTTTTCTAAAAACTATGTAGAGTACGTTCACAAGTAATTCGTTTAAAGTTCATAGTTGTTCAAAAACTGCAATATTATAATAGCATAGGTGGTTGCTGCAGCAATCATCTAAAATAAAAATCTAAATAAAAAATTTATAAACTAACGAAATTTACAGAAAAGATGAGTCTTGTATCGATCGTAAAAAACCCTCCAGCTGTTAATTCTAATCTGTCGTGTAGCAGCTGCAGACCGTATGTGTTCAGCTAAAATAAAATTTTTCACTTACAAAACTCTTATCAATTGTTAAAACTTTACCAGTTTTCTTATTTTTCTATTCTGCGTATACGGTAACAATCTACAAATGATTTTCGGGAAATGGTTCGCCTGAAAATGAAAATTTTGCCAACGGTATTTTAAAACTGTTACACATATACTTCAAAAGTGCAGTCATTGGACACTGTAATGATCCACCCCAGCTTCAGGGCACTAAAACACAATCCAATAATTTCCACATTTGCGGAAGATTCCTTATTAACGCGAATGTTGCAGTAGAGTGACATTATCCTAAGTAGCAGAGTCACGAAATAAAACCCGTTGTAACTAAGAAGGAAAACCGAGAAAGTTTTGTTAAACAATCTCGTGAGTTCGTGCAGATTGTGGTGTTGTTTCATGACGACATTTATCTCTTTTTCGTTGCAACAACAATACATTCTTTTATTCAAAGCTCTGAAATATTTCGCTATAACCAACCCTGAAAAAAGGAATCTTGCCTCGTACACGATTATGACAATCGTAAAATAGAAAATAACACCGTATGAAAGCAGACTGGACATAAACACCGCCAGACTGAAGTGAGTATGTGGATGTTCGATGAAAATTCTGTATACTATAACAAGAAAACGATACACGATTTCCATCAAAATCATAATTTTTGCGACTTGTTCTTTCCAACATTGTCGATTTTTAAAATGTGGTAAATTCAAATAAACTTCGTTGAGGCGGTTTAGAACTAGTAAATTTTGCTGTTCGGTTATTTTGTTGGATAATAAGGTTATCAGCACGAGAATTATTACTGCATAAAGATATAAAAGTAAACCTGACTCTAGGAAAAATTTTATGTTGGACGTGAACTGGATTCGAAAATTCGTTACAAGAATTTTGAGGTATAATACACTTGGTAATAAGCTTAGTATGAATTTGATGTTTCCCCAAAGCTTATTTTTTTCGAATTGGTTTGTAGTGGCATTGTATTTAAAATGTACCGTCCATAAGTAGTATGAAATTAGGGTTAATTTGTTTAAAAAAGCCGTTGGACGCTTTTCCACTACCATATTTAGTAACGAGGGAAATTGGATTCGTTGTTTACCGTGTTTTGTTGTATCTAATTAGAAAAAAGCTTTTTAATAATTTGTATTTGTAAATGTTTACATTAATTCGTGTGATAAATTGTATGGTTGTTTTGAACAGGATTAAAAGAAATTGCGCCGAAGAAGTAAACAAAATTGAAAGATAAATATTTTCCACTGTGAATAAACAACATGTAAGTAATTTATTGTAAGAGTTGTTTATAATTCGTAATAGTGCAAAAATTGTAGTACTATAATGGTGTACGTAGTTCCTGCAGAAATCATCTACAACGAAATACAAAGACTCAAAAAACTTTAATTTGTTGGTTTTACATTAAATATGAGTCTCGAATCGACGATAAAGAAGCCGCCTGCCGTCAGTTGTAATTTATCATGTAGCAGTTGAAGACCATATGTGTTTAGCTAAAAATTCTTTCATAATTCACCGTATTTCGAAACCTTTTAATTACCAGTTTCCTTATTTTCTTGTTTTGGGTTTGCGGCAACAACTTGTAGATAGTTTTCGGGAAACTATTAGCCTAAAAATGAAAAACCCAGTTGGTATTTCAATTAAACATAAAAATTACTTTCGCTGCACAATCGTCTGAAATTGTTATCAACCACGTCAGCTTCAACAAACTAAAACATATTCCAACAATTTCAACATTGACAAAGAGGTCCTTCTGGACCTGCATATTGCAATACACGAACATTATTCTCAACAAAATTGTTACAAAGTAAAACCCGTTAAGCATGAGAAGGACAACCGAATAAGTTTTATTGAATAAAAGTGCCAAATCGTATAAGTTTTGGTGCTGCCGCATTATTAAACGTATTTGTTTTTCATAACAACTAGAATACAGTTTTTTGTTTAAATGGCTGAAATATTTCCCAATCGCTAATCCCGTAAAAAGAAATGTCCCTTCGCTTACGATTACGATCACCGACATATAATAAACAAAGCAATGAGAGAGCGCATTTACTAGTGACTTTTGTGCTACCGAGTGCGAAAAATTTCTGTAAACCATTACGATAAAACGATACACGATTTCCACAAAAATCAACTTTTGCGCGAAACTTTCTTTCCAGTGTTTTTGGTCTTGAAAATCCAGATTTTTGTAAAATTTGTCCAAAAGATTGAAAAGTAGCACGTATCTGTGTTCGTTTATTCTGTTGCTAATTATTATTGTAAACACTAGGATTGCAGCGAGGTAGATATATAGCGCTAGACCTGTTTCCAGAAAAAAAGTTAAGTTGGACGAAAATTGCAACTCGACGTTGTTTATCAGAATTGCGAAATATATTAGAACTGGCAGTAAACCTAGTACAAATCTTAGGTTAAACCGGCGCTTTTTTCTTTGGTACGTGTTTGTACTCGAACTGTACTTGAACTGGACAATGCATAAGTAATACAAAAGTAGGATTAGTTTGTTCAAAAAATGGGTTGGTGTTTTTTGTGCTGGCATTTTCGGTCGACACTCGGTATTGATTGTTTACAGTGGATTACACTGTCCATGGTTTACTTTGTTTAATTACCCGAAACTGATGTTTAGTGGGGTGATTGTGTGTTTATAAAATTATTAAATTGTGTCGTTATGCTACAAAAAAAAAAATCACCCCACGAAATTACGTTTTTTTTAGAAAATGAGGCAATTAAATGTAGTTGACGCCGACGAAACATTTTATTTCTCTAATAACAAAATATTACATGCTAAAATTTAAACAACTTGAATCCCTGATTCATAAAACCTGCATGCAAATTCTTGTTGTTGTTGTTTTCAGTTTGAAACATCAAAAATGTAACATTCGACGAGAGAAAAAAAGCAATTTGTAACTTTCGACAAATTATTGCAAAACAGCAAAATAAACGCCACGTTAAAAATAATCCACCTGTCGTCGCTGCACTGCAATCCACCAGTATGACAAAACAACCACACTTCAAAAATAACTCCGTCCATTTCAACACCGTAACCAGGGTCAACGGTAGAAAAATCGAAGTACAAACACCTCATTCACCAATTTTACAACCAGCGTAATTTTTACGACCCATAAACGTAAAATTTCGCTCACCGTAAATTATCATCCTCTTCGTTTCCACATCTTCGCTCGTCGGCCCGCTGACCTTACACGTGTAATTCCCGGAAAACTCCGGCGACAAGTCCGTGATGTGCAGCGCCCTGTACATCGTACTCTCGTCATTGGTCGCTTTATAGTTAACGTCAATGTGGTTTTTGAGCTTCCCGATGGCTTGAGCTTTGGTTTTGGTCTCGGGCAACCACTGGTAAATCTGGATGGTTTCGTCCAGGAACCATTTGATTTCGTCCACCGTGTCGCCACCGGAGTCGAAGTCGCAGTCCAGGATGACGTCGTTCTGGCTTCCGTAGAGGATGGCAGATGGGACGTCGAGGCGTTTGATTTTTATCTGAGCCGAGCCTGGAAATAGAAATAATTGTCAATGGAACGAAAGGAGTGAAGAAAGAAATAAATTTAGGTTGGGGGCTTGGAGGTGGGCCAAGATTTTTTGCAACTAGGCTAATATCGGGAGTGAGTCGCGATCTATTTTGAATTGTGCAACGGATTTTGATGGGATGAAGTCACGGGGGGATTGGGAATTTTTGTAATGGGTTCGATGTGGAAAGTGTGCTCAGTATTTTTTGTGGAAAATAATTTGTCATCACGTAATATATATCTAATAAATTAGAGTGATATCCATCAGAAATGGTTTCGTTGTGTGTATTCATTACATTTATTTAGAATTCTGTATTCGTTTAGTAATCATTTATATCCACTTGTTTCTTCTTAATATGATCACTAAAACAATATCAACACATGTGCTAAATCAAGTAATTTTATTTTCAAATTATCTCTGGACCAGTTCTCTCAGTTATGATAAAGATACACACAAGTTTGAAAAAAATATAAATTGGACTAACTTTAAAACCGTAATGATTTTATTCGTAACAATCTTATTTTTGCAAGTGCTGCTAAACAACTTCGAGATCCAGTTTTCGTCCAACGTGAAGTTTTTTGTTGATTCGGAACTACTTTTATATTTATATGCTCTTGTAATTTTGGTTTTTGTGATAATAGTCGGTAACAAAATAAACGAGAACATATATATAACACACTTGAACCGACTAAACGAATTTCATGCAAAAATACACCCCCAAAGACAGAAATCTTGGAAAGAAAATTTCTCAAAAATTGTGATTTTCATAGAAATTGTGTCTCGTCTTTTCATAGTGTTTTATCGCTCTTTTATTGAATATCCTCAAATCAATTTAGACGTTTTGCCACATACTTTTTTATACGTTTGTACTTTTTATTTTACCATGGTCGTAATTGTAACCGAAGCAAGATTTTTCTTCTCTGGGCTACTCATAACAAAATTTTTTAAAACACTGAATCAAAAAATTCGCACATGTTCCGAAAAACAAATACATTTCCACATCACGGAGCAGCAAAATTTGCACGAAATAACCCGATTGTTTAATAAAACGTTTTCTTTGCACCTTCTCGCTTTGAGCGGGTACTATTTTGTGACCCTTTTTATTCGAATCATGTCCCTGTACTGCAGTTTTTACATCGAGAAAGAAGTCTTGACGGGAGTGGAATTTGTTGCTATAATTTTTAGTTTATTTAAACTTGCCTGGATTATCGCAATTTCGAACGACTGTACTTTTGAGGTAAGTGTCACCATTGCTGCACTTTACTGTAATATTGGTTTTAGGCCAACCAGCTCCCGACAATTATTTGCAGGTTGTTACCGGACGTTCGCGATAAAAAAATAAGGAAACTGGTAAAGAACCTAAAATAGTGTCAGTTTCAAAATAAGAGGCAAATTTTAGCTCAACACTTATGGAATTCAGCTGCTCCACGATAAATTGGAATTGACAGCTGGTGGTTTTTTTGCGATCGATAGCAAGCTTGTATTTTCCGTATGTTGTTTTTTTTTATAATTAGGGGTTTCAAAACTGGGTTTTCAGATAATTGCCGCAGCTACCACTTACACGATTTTGGTTGTGCAGTTTTTACAATACTACAAATTATAAAATTATTCAGATATTTATAGGATTTTTTTTAGCTTTCAATAACAATTTTATAAAAAATGTCCCTCTGCGATTACGTGTCACGTGTCAGTTATACGTTAAAACTAATTTATTCCTGGAAAATTAGTTATTGACTCGTTTAATTAATCTTTTGTTTGAGTCGAATTAACACCCAACTCAGTGCCATTTCTGATAATGACAACACAATATCTTAACAAACTCACTTTAGTCTCTAGTGCTTTATTAACATTTTCTCTTAAGTACGATGCACACAGTCATAAGTTTGAAAAAGATAAGAAATTTAGCTTGATTAAGTTAATTTTGAGTTTATTAATCGTTACATTGTGCTTCAAAATTTTGTTGCCTACGTTTGAAATCCAGTTTAGTTCGAATGTGAATTTTTTTCTAGAATCGGGGGTGGCAATCCAGTTGTATGCCATCACAATCCTTGCCTGTAAAAGAAATCAAAAAATGTGGCTTTGTTAAACCGGCTGAATGAGTTTCATTTCGGGTTAGAACATTTTCAAAAACGTAAAAACTGGAAGGAAAGTGTGGCGGAAGTTATCGTTGTGGTGGAAATAATGTTTTCGATTTTAATGCCTTTGTACAGTTTTTTTCTTCATTATTCTCCAAAACTGACGGCGAAAATTTTACTCGTGAGTGGATTTTCGCACGGTGTTGTTTTTTATTTTTCAGCGATTATAATGTTAACTGAAGGCAGGTTTCTGTTTGGAGAACTAGCTCTAACAAAGTATTTCGATTATTTAAACAAACGGTTTTGTTGTTACTCATGCGAAAAAGAACTTGAGGTGATAATGCAGAAGCACCATATTTTGCAAGAACTGACCAAATTGTTCAACAAAACATTCTCTCTTACTATTTTGCTGCTTATTGGGTTCTATTTTGTGACTCTTCTAGTCAGAGTGATGTCGCTTTATTGCAGTGTTTTTGTTAATAACAGGAATCTATTGGGGGATGTTGAAATTTTCGGAATATGTATCAATACGTTGAAATTAGGGTGGATGATTATAATTTCCAACGATTGCACTTGTGCAGTGAGTCGTTCAAAGTTTTCCAATTATATAACTTTGTACAACTTATTTTCAGGCAAATTATCTCTCGAGAGCCATTTATACTTTATTATCAAACACTAGAAACGAGAAAATAAGAAAATTGGTAAATCGTTACTGTTTTTATATAATGTATAAACAACGAATGTTTTAGCTGAATAATTATGGTTTTCAACTAATGCACAACAAACTAGAAATAACAGCTGGTGGCTTTTTCATAATTGACAGAAGGCTGATTTTTTCAGTGAATTCACTGTTTTAAGGTTTAACACACTTTTAAATTTTATTTTTAGATGATTGCCGCATCTGCAACTTATGCCACTTTAGTAGTGCAATTTTTGCAAAACTACGAACTTTAAAAAATTCAGGGTTTCCAGGTGATGCAGTCAACTTGTAGATTTTTAAGGCGAGATGTAAAATCAACTATTCAAAAACATACTCAATGAAATTGTGACATAACAAGATAATTAAAATTAGATTACTATCAGTTTTGGATTTTTTTTCTTTCTCTTTGGTGAGTGTATTTAATTATAATAATGGTGTATTTATCCACCTACTAATAAACAAGTTGGTTCAGTGTGATGACTGATGATGATGAGTGATGTCTTGGTTAATTCGCTTAACAATTGTATTAAATTATCTAGGGGTATCTCACCTACAATACAACAGTAATGCCAACAAGTTTAAAAACGTTTCCAAATTTAAAAGTACACTCAGATTTGCGTGGTGCCTTTCTTTGGATACATGCTATTGCATTTTCATTTATTTAATCAAATTTCCTCACATAAGTCGTCTATTTATTTTAAATGTTCATCTATTAATGTGCACATACGTGGTATGTTTTCTGATATTTTCTGTAACAATTTCAAACAAAAAACACGAAAATTTGATAAAACAAACATTAAACGAAATCATCAGCTGGCAACACAAAGACAAATGTGTTAATGTCGTGGATAAAATTACAGAAAATTTTATAGTAGGACTTGTATTTCTGCATATAGTGTGTTTGGTAATAGGAGAAGCAATCGATATTGCTAATGATCAGAAGTATTACGCAATATTTGGTGAAATGTATGTTCTCCATGTAATGACTGGGTTGTCTACACATTTTTTTTTCTGTTATTATGGGGTTAGCTGAGGGACAAATTTTGATATTCTACTTTACCCTATTAAGATATTTTGGTTATGTAAATAAAAATGTCTTCAAATGTGAATATAAAACCGCTATTAAAGAATACTATAAGTTATTGCAAATGTTCATGAGTGTAAATAACATATCTTCTGTAACGCTTCTAGCGTCTATAGGGCTTTACTTTTTAACACTATCAGAGCGCCTTCTATTGATTTATTGCAAATTTTTTGACCATCCTCTAGTAACTTCGGTTTTGGAAATATTTTTGTTACTGGGTGATGGTTTTAAACTGTTATGTTTTGTTGTAATTCCAAGCAAATGTTTAATGAAGGTTTGTTAACGGTGGTGATTACTTTTTGGATCTAACTTTCGAATTTTAGGTTAAAGAAACTAGAAAAAAAATTGGCAACGTAGATTCAATTCGACGAGAACAGAGGGTAGGTGGTTTTTTAAATTCAGTAAAATATTTTATTTCTCTTGTGTTCTTTCAGATACAGTCGCTCAATGTAGAAAGGTTGCACGACAATTTAATGATTTCGCCTGGAGGTTTCTTTCACATTAACATGAAGTTAGCATTTTCGGTAAATTTTCCAAAAATCTGTGTTCGCGACCCTTGTAATTAAAATTTCAGATTGTATCTTCGTGTTGTTCGGCATTGGTTATTGTGTGGCAGTTTCTAGAATACAGCAATGAGAGTTGTTTTTTGTAGTAACTACAGTTTGCCAAATCGATAAAAACAATACCATTAATTTAATAAACGTGATAATATAATGAAAAGTCTATATTTTATAACCAACATGTCGCAGCAAACCAGAAGCACTCTGTTCCTTCTAATTCGCCTAACAATTATATCCAGTTATTTAGGGATAACTTTCTTAAAATACAACTACACTACAGAACTTTTTGAAAAATCGATAAAGTGGAGAAACGTAAAATTTCTGTGTATTTTGCTACTACATCTCTTCATTTTCTCATACGTTTGTCATTTTACAGAATTTCGGTACATAACTAAAGTGTTCATTGTAAATGTGGGTGCGTTAGTTTATATATACACCGCCATTTTCTTCATATTTGTGGTTACCATAACCAACAAAAAATATGAAGATTTAACGGTGAAGACGTTAAACAGACTAAACAAATTTCACTTGGATTTGCAAGGTTTTTGTGACAAATTAACTAAAA